GACCAACAGTAAATCAGTAGTATGAAATGTAGAAAGTTCAGTCCACTCCTGCCTGGATGAGAACAACTTTGGGGAAATCAAGGCTATGTAAAATTGAATGGAAACGTCAGCTCCACTCACATGATTGTGGGAAAATTCTACTGCCAGTCCTTTATCACCTTAGACGAAATTGGGTGAATACATCTCATACTACTTATATACTGTTAGTCTCAACACAATACTTAAATGGGAATATAACAAAAATAAATTCCTATAAAGATAGCTAGATATAGGATGATTTTGCTAGTTAGTTTTTAGGGTAATCTAAATATATTTTTCGCATTTCAATATTGTTTCAAGACCAACAGTAAATCAGTAGTATGAGATGTAGAATCTCCAGTCCACTCCTGCCTGGATGAGAACAACTGTTGGGAAAGCAAGGCTGTGTGAAATTAAATAAAAAACGTCAGCTCTACTCACATGATTGTGGGAAAATTTTACTGCCAGTCCTTCATCACCTCAAACAAAATTGGGTAAATACACCTCCTACTACTTATTTACTCTACTCCAATACGAAAATGTACCTGTGTACAAATTTCGTCTTGTCGACAGAACCTTCAGGTCTTTGGTGATCCGGACAGACTCGTCGATCAGTCGACAGTCGCCCGAATGCGTGTCGAAGACAAATCCAATGCACCGCATCGAGGCACTCCATTCTAGACAGCGACGTGAGCACATTTCTGCGGTCATGCGATCAAGTGGATGCAGTTTTGCCACCGACTCATTCAAACTTATCTTCGCTTCAACGTTGAAGCGTCGCAAGCCGGGTCCAGGTCTGACGAGCAACTTTTCAGTGTTCCATATGTCGATTTCTTTGAGAGAGTCCATTGAGAAGGAGTCCAAGTTCGTGATAGCGAAACGACTCTGAAGGAGTAATGTTGCAAAAAAAGAATATGATCAAGAGTATGGTGGGTAGAGAAGATGTATAAACTGAAAATTGGCAAATAAAGCAATTTTACTAATAGTTTGCATACTTGATCAACATTGAACTTTAGCTTTTAGAGGAAAATTGTATCAAATAAATTAGGCCCAATACAGTTAGCAATAGCATATTAGAATAAATTATGAAAATATGTACAATAAATGTATGAAAGCTAGAAAGCAGTGGCAAATTATGTGTGTTTGGGTGTGTTATCAAAGAGTAGAATGAAAAAATAAAAATGTGAAGATATAATGGTGCATGAAATGGCATATTATATTAGCACAATTAAAACAAAGAGATTAAAGCAATAAGTAAAAGGGGGAATAATGATAAAGCCCGGCAAAAATGAGTTCAAAATGCAATATTTGAAGACAACGACATAAATCGCACCGACTTTCGTTTCTTATGCAAGTCTGTTGAGGAGATTTTCGCATTTCTCGATATATCATCGTTTTGACGACACTGCCAAATTTGGGCTGACATAGTCTCTGAGACGAGCTATTCCAATTCCAGGTGAACAAACGTATGAACTTTCATGTACCGGTAAACCGGCACAATCGAAAGTTGAAGTGGATTCGAGGGGAATGGTTGGCATTTCTGAGTGAGGTCGACGAAGAAAACGCCAATTTCGCAACTGAGCATAGTCCCGCCAATGGCCTCTGATGGGCTTCATCAAAATCTAGCTTTGCATGATCAAGGAATACAACTCAAAATCATAAAATTGGATTAAATATATATTTCGAATGCGATGCACAAGAATGTGATGAGCATCAAGAACTCTTTTTGGAAGAGAATAATCGAAAAATGGTCTCGAATTGAATAAGAGCATAATTGGTATATTGAAAAGAAGTAACAATAATCAAAATGCTTAATAGTTGAATACCTATTTTACGCATTAGATAGCATTTAGAAAGGGTATGTATGAAAGGAAATTGTGAATAGTGGAAATGTTCAGACACTTTCTCAGATGGCTTTAGCCAATCTTGATGGAATAAAGCAGTTTTCACGAATTGAAGCACCAGCACAGAAAAGACGAGTTTCATAAAATTGCAAATGTAACATGAAAAAAAGACAATAAAACATCAGATCAGAATAAGAATGGGAAAAATGTCTTCTGTATCTTTGCTTACAATGCACTGGGTATTATTGAATTCAATCCAGAAGGGGAAAGAGCTTCCGATGAGCTTTTCGAGGGTCTGAAGTAACTCGAAACTTTTCAGCTCTTTTCCAGGTTGAACCACGGATCCTGTCAAACAGGGCAGCAAAAAAGATTAAATTATGCATAATTGTGATGGCTTGAGGCTGAAAGCTACAAGCAATTATCCCAAAACGTGTGATTAACTGTTGCTGTACATGATGGGCAATATCGCGTTGCTATGGCATGTGTATCTACAGCCTTTTGGGCAGAAAATCGCTTTTTTGGCAGGCCCTCTGAAGAACATAGTCCCAAATGTCCCCTCGGCCATGGACGACATGAGCATTTGTTGCGATGGATGTAAAACTTGGTACATGTCCATGCCGAAGATGCACAGTAAAACGAGACTGTTTTGGTCTTTTGAACTACAATTTTAGGCACAAGGTCAAAGCTGTTTTGAAAGAACATTGACGATTGTCTTCCGATTAGTTAAGGGAGCAAGGAGCTCTCGACGGGTCGCGAAGGAAGGTCCGCTTGGCGGCAAATTTCCCTCAAATTACGTCAGACGGATCCGATTCGACAAAAGATTAGACATTCAGAAAAAAGTATCGTTTCACCAAAACGATTATGCTTCGCTCAAAGTAGAGTCGAATGACAACTGTCAACATCATCGTGTGGAGCAGAACCGCTGAAGCTGTATCTATCCTTGGCGGAAGACAAATGATTCTTGACGTTGGTACTACCAATTTGCTACATTGTCGCTCTGATCGCCATGCCTCGACTCTCTAAGATCTAGTCTTTGTAAGTCCGCATACTTTTTTGGTGCTTTATGAATTCTTCTTTGCATTCTTTGATACACACCCTGAGAAATTGATGAGTTTGATTTAGATTTTCCATTTATATTCTGGCCTAGAATGCATATTTGATGTAGTAAAGTCTAATGTGGACTAGCAACTAGACCAGCCTGATTCGCTTAGAGAGATATAAAGCTGAAACGATTAAGTTATTATTGAAGAAAACTACTCGTGCCAAGAGCGCATCATAGAATATTGGGTCTTTTTGTAATGTTCCCATTTGCTAGGCGGCCAGAGGAGAAGCTATCGGTTTCGCTATCTACTCATTTGGAATATGAGTAGTGTGATCGAATTGAATAAAAATGCAAAAAGGTGATATGATAGGGGCCCGGCTGGTCGTGGAATCCAGGTTACCGATGTTAAGGACGAAAGGATCATGAATTATCAACACGTCTACACTTCTTTATCTACTTCAGGAAGGTGAAGAAATGCTGACAGGTTTGGCGAATCATGCTCCGACGGTCAGGACTCGGTCGAATCAAGCAGGCAGGCTTTAACGAAACCACGTAACTCGACTTGAATAACTTTCGATGCCAACGCGATGGCAACATGCATCGTGTAAGAGTGTAAACTTCGCTTAACAATCAAGTCTCGCTGATTATTTAATTGTGAAGAAAACTATTTTATTGGTTGGTTGGTATGTTGGCCACTCTTAGTCTCACTTCTGCAGAGTTGGGCAAAACAGGAGATTAGATCTTCAGAAAAAAGTATATTTTCATCATCTTTTCATCTTTTTGCTTAAAATAGAGTCGAATGACAACTGTCAGCATCATCGTGTGGAGCAGAACCGCTGAAGCTGTATCTATCCTTGAAGAAAGACAAATAATTCTTGACGTTTGTACTACCAATTTGCTTCATTGTCACTCTGATCGCAATGCCTCGACTCTCTACGATCTAGTCTTTGTAAGACCGCATACTTATTTGGTGCATTATGATTTCTTCTTCGCATTCTTTGATACCCACCCTGAGCAATTAATAAGTTTGATTTAGATTTCCCATTTATATTCTGGCCTAGAATGCATATTTGATGTAGTAAAGTCTAATGTGGACTAGCAACTAGACCAGCCTGGTTCGCTTGGGGCGATTTGAAGCTGAAACGATTAAGTTCTTATTAAAGAAAACTACTCGTGCCAAGAGCATATCATAGAATAGTGGGCCTTTTCGTAATAATCCTATTTGCTAGGCGACCAGAGGAGATGCTAGCGGTTTCGCTACCTACTCATTAAGAATATGAGTAGTGTAATCGAATTTAATAAAAAAAATGCAAAAAGGTGGCTGGTCGTGGAATTCAGGTTACCGATGTTAAGGACGAAACGATTAAGTTCTTAATAAAGAAAACTACTCGTGCCAAGAACAATGTTATTTGGCATGGATAAAGTAGCGTAGCATTGCATGATGTTGTCCATAATAGCATATCATAGTATAGTGTATTATATAATCGTATGGTATAGAATGTTGAATTCTAATGCATAACAGATAAATTTGGCCATTTTAGTATGGTTAGATAACGAATAGTATAGTATAGTATTAAATACTAAATTATAGTAAGGTGTAATATTGTATAGGAGACTAAAATATGGTACAGCATAGTATGGAATTGCGTAGCATTTAATACTAGTTATTGTATACTAATTTATGCTATAGTATAGTATGCTATAGAAGCAACCAAAACCCTCATAGGCCTGGATTAGCTCAACACTATTTAGATTTGAAAACATTTTAAACATTTAATGTTTGATATGATTACATTTTGCCACAATCTGATTAGTAGTCCTCACATTTAAATTGGACTGCTTCCCAGAAGCTATTCTCATCCCGAATGTGATGGACTTCACTTTTGAATTCGCTTCAACTGGTCTCATCTGCACCCCTAAAGGGGACCCAAACGCGATTTTTGGTTTTGTGAGCATACCTTTTGCGCATAATAATATAATTGTGAAAAATTCAACTACCAACCTTGCATCATCTTACATGAAAAAGGGTCAACGCAGCATTGTTGAAAAGAAAATGTAGCTCAAAATGTGTGCTTCCTTGTATTACCAGGCCTCAGAGTGTGTGCGTATTAAGAGTATGTGTGTTAGGAGCAATTTGTCGAAATTGTCGAAATTTCTTTATCTTTATGCATAATTTTTGTTTTCAAATCTGCCCCACTGTTGATACAATCATTGCATCATACTACTGATGTCAAACTACTCTTCGTTAGCCATATCGAATGTACACTGGTAGTAGTACCCAGACTGGATGTAATTTCTTATAATTTCTTCAGCCGCTAGAACATCTATCAAATGATTTCGAGCAGACCGACAGGCAATAAAGATTTGAGTAGTATCGCAGTAAAAGTGCTCAAAACCGCTCGCACACACAAACACGCACAAACACAAATTAAATTGCCTACGGAAGGCGTAGATCCAATTCGCTTCTTGCTTGATGTCCTTTTGAGCGGCCTGGGTCTCTAGGCTGTAGCATCTTTTTGTGGAATTGTCAAAGTTGACTGCTTTGCACTTGAACGCTGGAGTGAAGAGCTGGTCGGTGCATTTGGAGAGGCAGCCTTCAAAGGTCGTCATGTTGCCCAAGTCCAATAATTTGCCCACCTTTTCTATGTCTGTCACGATATAGTTGGCCTGTTTTGCGTAAAG